ACAGTTACCGTGGGGCTGGATATTTCACAAGGCCCCCGGCCTGCTGGAGCAGCCAGGACTTGGTGGCTTTGCAGATGGGCCACATGGCATCTGCATGCTCAACCCCAGCCCCGAAACTGGGGCCAGACCCACCACCCAGGGCACGACCAGTACAAGGCCCCAAATGGGCCATCAACATGTCCCAGAAAGCACTCCAGGCTGCAGAGACCCCTTCACCCTCAGGGGAAAGGGGTGGAACTGCAGGTAACGACGACCAGTTGCCCAAATCCTATGACAATGAGGATGAGGGAGAAAACGACCCAATGGTGAGTGAACCAATTCATCCTTTCCTTTTTCCAATACGCTTCACAGCCCCCAAAACAGGAAACCAGGAGAATTTTCAAGCCCTAGTAGATTCAGGCTGCACAAGGTGCTTGATCAACCTAACCACACTCCTGAAACTGGGGATGAGAGCAAAAAGACTGGCCCACCCAATCCAGTTTGAACAGGTCAATGGGTCTGTAATGGAAGGAGCCCTTGCCACCCACCTGACCGAACCAGTGAGGCTAGAGCTAGTGGATCACTGGGAAGAAATTCGATTCGTAATAGCCCCCAAAATGACAGGCGCAATCATACTGGGACTTTCCTGGCTAGATAAGTGGGGACCAACCATCTGGTGGCAAGGGGGTACCCACAGACTTAGTATATCAATGGGCCCTCAACCCCTCCCACACCAGCAAGCAGAAACACCACCCACATAGGAAACCCCCCAAAAGAGCCCACCAGAACAACTGGCAACCACATCCCAAAAAATTCCAGAGGCTGAACAGATCCATAGGGAATATCAGGACCTTGCAGAAGTATTCAGCAAGGCCGAGTGCAATCTTCTGCCTCCCCACTGCAGAATGCGCCATCGAAATCATCCCAAACTACCCAAGCCCAAACTGTACACCATGATGCCCCAGGAAATGTAAGAGATGTGCAAATACATAGACAAAAACCTAGCATGAGGTTTCATCAAGGCAACCAAACCACAGGTCGCAGCACCAGTCCTCTTCAAAGAAAAAAAAGATGGAACTATAAGATTTTGTGTGGACTTTCGAGGGATAAATGCCTTGTGCATAACCACCACCCCACCCCCCATCACGAAGGACATGCTATCTCATCTGGCCAAGGGAAAAGTCTTCACCAAACTAGACCTCAGAGAAGCATACTACTAAGTACGTATCAGAGATGGAGATGAGTGGAAAAAAAGGGTTCAACTGCCCCCTAGGGAGCTTTCAATTCAAAGTGATGCCTTTCGCACTGCAGGCCCCCCCAGTGGTATTCATGCAGTTAATAAATGAGGTGCTGCATGAGCACTTCTACAAGGGGGTCCTCATCTACCTGAATGACATCCTCATCTACACTGAGACAATGGATGACCACTTACCCCTAGTCCGTCAAATACTCGAAAAACATCTGGCAGCCAACCTGNCGCTGCTCCATGCCTCAGGCGCCTCCTGGTGGCCAACCAGCCTCTCTGGTCCCTGCTCGGAGTCTGAACCCTGCCCAGGGCCCTCCAGAGCCGACTCATAGGGTCCCTTGCTATCGGAGTCCGTCGGCAGCTCCAATGGCTCCTGCTGGGCCACAACATATGAGTATTAATAATATGGGTTTTTCTGTTTTCTCTTATTCAATCATGAGCACCCTGCCTTCTTCATCAGAGTAGACTTCTTTGGAGTTTATTTTTTTCCTTTATATAGGTCGCTATCCCTCTTTGCAACAGTTTTTAATAATTTAACAGAGTTGGAAGGGACCTTGGTTCCCGCAACCGTTCTTCATATCTCTCCTAATCATCTGTTAGGGCATTCTGTTAGTTCTGTTAGTGACCGTTTGAAGTTATGACAGCACTGAAAAAAAAGGATTTACGACTCTTTTTCACACTTAATAACTGTGGCAGCATCCCTGTGGCCAACACAATAGGGGGAAGAGAAGATAGAAAATTAGAATGGAATGGAATGGAATGTAGAACAGAACAGAATAGAATATAGAATAGACTAGAACAGGACAGGACAGGACAGGCGTGTGCGTGTGTGTAGACAGTCCTCGACTTATGACCACAATGGAACCCAAATATTTTTGTTGTTAAGTGAGGCATCTGTTAAGAGAGTTTTGTCCCATTTTACAACCTTCCTTGCCAGTGTTTGTTAAGGGAATTGTTGCCGTTGATAAAGTTAGTCACTCTGTTTTTAAGCGAATCTGGCTTCTTGAAAGGTCGCAAAAGGGGATCACGTGACCCTCTAGGGACACGGCGACCGTCATAAATACGAGCCAAGTTGCCCAGTGTCCGAATTTTGCTAAGGGGACCACAGTGATGCTGTAATGGTCATTAAGTGTGGAAAAAAAACAGTCGTAAGTCCCTTTTTCCAGTGTCATTGTAACTCTGAATGGTCACCAGGCAAACTGTTGTAAGTCAGGGAATACCAGTAATGGGTGTGTATTTGTGTGTGTGTGTGTGTGTGTGGTACATTACAATATTTGAAGACATGCAAACTCTGTGGGGAGAAACTGCAGTGGACATTCCTTTTTGGGAAACGCAAATGAAGTTTCGTCCTCTGAAAATGCAGGCTGAAACAATTTCTCTTGCATCTCAAGAGCCCCTTGTAGGAATGGTGGGGTGGACTAGAGGGGAAGCTCTCGCCTCACAATCAGCAGGCTGGGAGTTCGATCCTAGGTAGAGGCAGGTATTTCTCTCTCTGGGCACAATGAGAATGTATCAGCTGAACAAAACTCCCCCTTGGCGACAGGGAAGGGCACCCGGCCATTAAAACTCTCAGCTCCATTCCCTTGCCCAGACTTCACCCTGCAAGGGATTATGGGGGTCGTTCAATGACAATGGTCCCAAGAGACCAGAGGTGGGTTCCTACCGGTTCGCACCAGTTCGGTAGAACCGGTTCGTCAAATCTACCGAACCAGTTAGAAGAGGTTCCACCAGTGGACCCGGAAAGCAGGCCACAAATACAGAAGAAGAGGTTCCAAAAATTTTTGAAACCCACCAATGACACACACACACACACACACACAC